CACGTGCCCTTTTCTTTTACCCCCCAGGCCTGCGGCAAGAGCTCCATGGTGCTGCACAGCTATGGCATGCTGCTGCCCTGTGGCATCGATAAGTTCCAAGGCACAGAATACGTGTGCTGCCCCGCCTCTCGCACAGAGTCCACCCAACCTTCCCTCCCCTCCCAGGAGGATGACGACGATGAAGAGGTAGAGGATGAGGAGATTGACGAGATGGACCTGGATGAAGAGGAGGCTGTCGAGGACAGGTGAGCAATTGCGAAGGTTGAGGGCCGACTGCATCTGGTTGTGTTCATGAAATATTGCAAGCAAAATATGCGCTGCGATGGGAAGGGCGGATGTAACTGGCCATCTGGATGAATTAAAGTTTCGTGACATTGATCCATGGCAGCTGCTCTGTCTCTCTTGATAAATCACTCCTTTCGATGGCTTACACCCCTTCACTTAACCGACTCTTTCCCTCATCAGCGAGACACCAGCTGACGAGCAGCCCACACAGAAGGAGGAATTGGTAGATGAGGATGAAGATGATGAGGTGGAGGACGAGGAGGAGTACCACTACGTCTATGAGGACGAGGAGGCTGACAAGGAGGATGAGGATGAGAAGAAAGAAAGCAAAATGTCTGACAACCAGGATGAGGACAAGATTCTACAAGAAGTGAAAGGTTTGTAATGTGCTGTTAGATGCTTTCATATCATCCACTCAGCCCCCCTCCATCTAACTCTCCCTTTATAGGCACTTGCCACTACCTACATCTTAAATATAATCAAACCTTTTCAACCTTTCAGCTAGATCCAGTTATACCTAAATCCCCACCGGTCTGTAATTAGATAAGCTGAGCTCACACCAGATACTGTGATGAACTGTTCTTCTTGTATCAAACTGAAGGGACATATCACCCTTTCTCATTCTTAGATAGGTCCAGCTCAGGCTGAACAGAAAGGAGGTTATGAATCATGTTATTATCTAGTTTCTGTAGTTTTCTGAGTGTTTTTAATTGAGACTGCTGCCCAAAATGGCTGGTTGATCTAACAAGCTGTCCTCTGGCAGCGGTGTGCACCCTGGAGGCTGAGACCGGCCCCTGTCGTGCCTCCATGCCCCGCTGGCACTTCGACATGAGCCAGAGGAAGTGTGTGCGCTTCATTTACGGTGGCTGTGCCGGCAACCGCAACAATTTCGACTCAGAGGAGTACTGCATGGCCGTGTGCAAACGTCTGAGTAAGTCTCACGTGACAGAGGCCGCTTTAACAAACCCTCCGCTCTCTTTATCTGTTTGTGTCTTTGCTGCAGACTTCCCACTGAAAGCCTTCGAGGAAATTATAGATGTAGTAATCAGAACACCTGTTCTGCAGTCTCTCACTGCTCCAATCACTATAGCCGTTCTTTCCACGTTACTTCACAGCCACGTCTCCTGAATATACTCTAAGCTGTTCTCTTTTGCTTTATTTTTCCAAACAATTATTTTTTTTATTAATTATTTCAGTTTAAAAAAATCATATCAAAAGTGACAGAATCTTCTTGGTGCAAAGAAGGTATTTTTTTATAATTAGTTAAATTAGTTGAAATAAATTTAAATGCGAGTCAGATTTTGTTTGATATTTAAATGATGATCTAAACCAATTCTTTAAATTACCATTGATTTGCTTCTTCTTAATCCATCAGATTTCATCCTTGCATCACTACACATAATGACATTTTTCATTTACTTTTTTTATGAAATAGTCTATTTGTAAAGACAAGATATAGCAGGTTCATTACTTTAGTGAAACGCTCTACTAATTTTGAACTGCAGATATTTTCCATATTAGTATTATCTAGTAGAAAGAAATCACATTTTCATTAGGTTTCATTTGAATGTAAAATTACTTGAATAAAAGATTAAATACTGGAAATTTTATTTTCTTCCAGTCTTCTGCCTGACTGTCAAATCAGAGTTCTCTGTAGCAGTAAAAGAGAAAACTGTAAAACGCATTTAAAATTGAAACTAAATTTCAATTTAAAAAAAAAAACCACTCATACTTTCCCCTCAGTAGTGTTCTTCTTTCTTCTTCTTTGACGGTCAATGTTTGCTCCCAGCATGAGTTTGTTTCTGTCTGTCTATCAGCAACCTGTCTCTTCTGATCACAGAGCACTGCAACTATTTTTGTTAGAAACCACCAGCATATGTCAGTCAGTAGCCCCTTTTTTTGCGCCTGCAGTGATTTACTTCCCATCAGGTTAGACATAGTTCACACTTGTAACCAACTGGATTTTTTTTCTCCATTTTTAGGGACTGAAGCGGCTAAATTTAGGAAAATAAAGGTCCTTATTTTTAACCCATTCCTCTTTTTAAAAGATGATGGGGCCAAAGTGCTTGAGGTGTCTTTCTATTTGCCAGCCTGAAGCAGGACTGTTTTTGCAAGTTGCAGGGATATGAGGAGGGAGCGGTGCGTGACTGTATAGAACAGAGCCCTCTGGCTTCACCCCCTGTGACCCAGTTGTCAAATACGGAGATATTTCTATTAGTGGCGGAGATGCGACCTGTCAGCAGAAAGCCGATTGGAAGATGAAAAGAACTGAAATGGAAAGACTGTCAGATTCTCTTAAATTTATCAGACTTACTGAGGGTGGAAGAACGCCAATGAGAGGAGTGCATCTGTGAGGATTTAGGTCCGGCGTCAATCTCCTTTCGCCTTTCAGCTCTCTTTCTCTCTGTGCCCAGTTGTCTGCCTGTGTGTCTATCTTGCTGCCTACCTGTTTCTGCCAGGATCAGCTGGTCTGCTAGCCCGTCGCTCTATGTGTGTCAGTCTGTCCGGTTGTCAGTTTGCTGCCCTGACCTCTCGCCATCTGTGTCTGACTTTGCAGCCATGCCCCCGACTCCTCAGCCCACCGACGACGTCGACATCTACTTTGAAACCCCCGCCGACGACAAGGAGCACAGTCGTTTCCAGAGAGCCAAGGAGCAGCTGGAGATCAGACACCGTAACCGCATGGAGAGGGTGAGTTTACCGGCAAGAATCAGGACGCTGATTCCTGAGAGGCAATATGTAAGGATCTTTCCACTCGGCTGCACTGTGTGACCGCATTGTACATGATCGCAGATGTTTTAAAGAGATTTATTTCAGTAAAGCTGGTAGCTTTTTTGTTGCATTATTGGCAGTCAAATAGATATTTGTAGGAGGAAAAGGAGCAAGTGTAACATTTATTATCTATGTTGTTTTTTTAGATGTCACATAAATCAGAACATTTGAATTTGAGATAACAACAAGAAACAAAGTCATACTTTATCAGTTCCTTACCTTCCTGGTATTGTTTTCCCAACAAAATAGCAGTTTTCTGAGTCCTAGTAGGACTGCCTTTTATCTCCATTTCACTTCCTTCCCCTTCACGTCTCTCTCCAGGTAAGAAAAGAGTGGGAAGAAGCTGATCGCCAGGCTAAGAACCTGCCCAAGGCTGAACGGCAGACATTGATCCAGGTAAGACACTGATCCTTTCCCATGGGAGTCGCCCCTCCCCTCGGTTTGTCCCTTTGTTTGAATGAGGGATGATGGCTTGGGTCCCTCACTCCCTGTACCATTAAAGATCCCGTTTCCCTGGCTGTTCCATCTTTATCACTCTAAGGCTAAATGAGGACATTGTTTGAACGGGAAACCTTCTAAATGAGTCCCCAAGTCCCTTAACAAGCCTGGAAGGCGACATGAATGAAATTGAGACTTGTGTTTTTCTGTTAGTAGAAACTGAAAGAGTGCCGTGCAGTTTAGTGTGCATATGTAAGATTTTGAACTGGTTTACAGCACTTCCAAGCTATGGTGGAGTCCCTGGAGGAGGAAGCAGCCAGCGAGAAGCAACAGCTGGTGGAGACTCACCTCGCCCGGGTAGAGGCCATGCTGAATGACCGGCGCCGTCTGGCCTTGGAGAACTACCTGGCTGCCCTGCAGGCTGACCCCCCCAGGGTAAATGGCACACACCTGCCTCTCAGAGCAACTTTGACATCTGGATGTTTCTTTTT